GAAAGTTGTAAAGGTGCTTTTGCTGTTTTTAATCTTTGGGGCAGTTGTGATGAAAATTGCTTCAAAGCGTTTTTTGTCTTTAAGAGGGCGGGGCGTCTGGAGGTGTGTCTTGCCAGGGATGAAGTGACAGGGGGGAGGGGGGGGGAGAAATAAGTGGAGATGTAGGGGGTTTGAGCAGAGATGCTCCATCGATCAATAGTATGTCTCCCTTTCCACCCAACCTGGATATCAGAGGAAGAAAGAAAAAAACACAGAAAAGTTCAGTTAATAGTGATTTAGGATGATATTCAAAAAATGCATTTAGTGATATCAGTGACATCCAGCAACTTTAATGTTTTTACTTTATTAGTGTAGCTACGATATTCGCTAATCTGATATTGTGAGAGTCTAAAGATAAGCCTACTAGCACTTCTGAAACTCACTAATTAACCATACTTATTCTTATCGTGCTTCAAAACTGTGGTTTTTCAGGCGCTGGACATTTTCTTAGCCGGGTGCAGAGACTTCTTTGGGTCTCATAGTTGATAAAGTTACTGCACTACTTATGTTACTATAAGCAAAGTAAAAGTCCAACACAACGTCCTTTAAAAGGAACCTGGTTAAAAAGGGATGAAGAGGACATGAAGTAGAAAAGATACTGACCTCCGGGGTTCCTACGGAGGAGGAGTTTTCGGACTTCATCATAAACAAAGATGAGGAAACTATAGGGGAACGCACAGAACCACCAGCTAGGCCTGTAAGCGAGACAAGAGAACAGCGAGGGTTAAAACACATCACAGATTACAAAATATGTCTTAATGGTAAATGGACTGTACTTATATAGCGCTTTATCCAGTCTTTAAGACCCCTCAAAGCGCTTTACATACTACATGTCATTCACCCATTCATACAGAGCAGTGTCCCTTACTCTAGGAACTAACATTCATACAGAGCAGTGTCCCTTACTCTAGGAACTAACATTCATACAGAGCAGTGTCCCTTACTCTAGGAACTAACATTCATACAGAGCAGTGTCCCTTACTCTAGGAACTAACATTCATACAGAGCAGTGTCCCTTACTCTAGGAACTAACATTCACACAGATTCACACATCGTTGGCATATGTTGAGATATGGTACTGGCACTCACTTTAGAGGATACATCCTGAGTGCCACATCCATGCCGGGGCAGTAGGACAGGAAGGCAGCCAGGGCTGTCTCTTCAAACAGGCCGAAGATCAAGATCTTGTTCCTGAGTGGGAAGAACACAGCAAATATTGAAGAGCAGAAAGAAAAGAGTGATGCAGAAATTGAGCTGCGTGTCATCATGATAATGGATAAAAAAGATAAGCCACTCAGTAGGCCTGTTGTAAAGGAATGTAGCTGTAACTGTGTATACTATGTCATATAAGTATTTATTGATATAAACAGTTGCCTTTGTTTTCATTAATGCTATCACTTGCGTTTCTTCATAGTTTGATCATATAGTGTTATTTAAATTGGGTTTTATCGATGTTTTCCTTTGATAGTCTTGTTAGTATTTGGTGTGATGGTTTGCTAATGGTTTGTTAATGTGTTATATATTGTGTCTTGTCCTGTTCTATTTTCCCACGTGTCTGATGACTGTATGTTTGGTCTCAAGAGGGTTATCCTACGAGTGCACATACCTCATGCCCTGCTGGAACACAGAGTTACGTCGGGTCTTGCAGATGATCACATCGGCCCATTGCACCACCACGATACTGACGAAGAAGGCTGTGTGGCAGGTGAACTCCACAATCTTCCTCTGCTCGTATGTCTGAGGGCAGGAGAGTACAGGAACACAATTAGATCAAGTAATAAAACCACCCCAAAAACTCACTTTAACAAACTAAGACTACACCCTTACCCATTGCTGCCCGTAGCTGTCTTCCAGGTCGTTGACAGAGCGGTCGTCCCAGTTGAGCCTGATGCCGACTAGTTTACTGGGCAGGAAACCATTTTCAGCCAAGATGACAAAGTAGGCGAAGAAGCCTGCAACAGCCTGGATCATACCTGAGGAGAACACACACAGAAAGATTAAGTTACATATCCAGAGATGAAGTTCTCTATCAAACACAAAACTCATTTCTTTATAGGCAGAATAAGTAAAAACAAAACAAAGAAACATGCCTTGTCGTGTGCCTTTCATAAGTTATTTTAACATGAATGTAAGAAAGAAGGGAGAAAAAACCAGGAAGCCTAGAAAATAATAGTAAGTAATAACAGTAGCCATCTTTGTTTCACTTACCAATTTGTCCATAAGCGATGCTGATGAGCCTCTCGTTCACCAGCTTGTCCCTGAAGGGGTTCCTGGGCTGACGCTTCATGATGTCGCTCTCTGCGGTCTCATAGGCCAAGGAGATGGCTGGCACCTGAGGGGAGAGGGAGACATGTGAACTTTTAGTATATCATATCTAGGCCTGTCGCAGTTACAAACCTTTTTTTAATATTCTCATTTTAGGACCATTGCTTAATGCAGTGCTTCCACTGGTGGTCCGTGAGCACCCCCTAGTGGTCCGTGAGTATATTGGTAAAATGTCACACTTGAAATAAATTAATTAATTAAAGTTTTCCGCACTCTCGCGGGAATATCTCTGCAATGGGGCGAGCTTAAGTTTCACTTTCGATTGCATTATATAGCCCAGAGCAACACCTTCATCACACATGTTGCCACTTTTTTATACCATTTTCAAGCGATTTGTAATCTGTTCTAGAAGAACGATGTGTTTTTGGATATTTGTGGAGTTAGGTGGTCCGCGAGTGATTTTTTATTGGTTAAGTGGTCCTTGGTATGAAAAAGTTTGAGAAACACTGGCTTAATGTAATGTTAAATAATCTATTACTGTATTTTATGTTTATTTTACACAATTACTTTATACTTTAACGCGCTTTTATTGAGTGTTTGATCCGCTCTCACCATGTCAGTTCCCAGGTCAATGCAGAGGATGGTGATGGTTCCCAGGGGCAGGGGGATGTTGGCGCAGATGAACAGCAGGAAGGGTGTGATCTCTGGGATGTTGCTGGTCAGGGTGTAGGCGATGGACTTCTTCAGGTTATCAAAGATCAAACGACCTGAAGGGAGGAAAAACAAAACAAGTTACACCAGGAACTCAGTCACAGGGTTTGGCTCTGTGAAACCACACGTTCACGTTCAGGTCCCTCGGGGTCTCGGGGTCTTCTCACCTTCTTCCACTCCTGTCACGATGGAGGCAAAGTTGTCGTCCAACAGGATCATGTCAGCGGCCTGTTTGGACACGTCTGAGCCGGAGATACCCATGGCAACACCGATGTCGGCCTTTTTCAGAGCGGGAGAGTCATTCACACCGTCGCCTGTCACGGCCACAATGGCACCCTGGGAGAGAAGAGGGAGAGAGAGGCGGTTATATAAAGGAAGTTATATTTCATCCATCATTGACCATGAGGTAGTTTGAGTTTAAATGAGAACTATGTATCTTAGAAATCTATGATTCATATGACCACAATGATTTTAGTCAAAAGTTAAATGAGTCACTAGTTAAGAAACTGTTTTGAAGCAATCATGATTGAAAAACATACTCAAAGTTTTCAATAGCTGAATAGACGTTTATATGGTATGAACAAATAAATCTAAAATGTTTCAATTTAACTAAATTAATTCAATGTAATCAAATTAATCTAAAACATGGTATTTTAAATACATATCGAAATTCAGATGTATTAAAATAATCAGTTGTAATTAAAAAAATTACAATTTAATTTCCTTTAAATGAAACTGTCACAAATATAAAATGTTTTTTCAAATATCTCACTGTCAGGAAATCCTCAATCAATAACTAACTAGCGCCCTCTGCTGTTGTAAAAGTAGAATGTTACTTATAGCGCCAGGATGTACTCAATATAATAATATCATGAAAAATAAACATTTGATTTTATTATAGGAACATAAAGCAACAGTGCTTGGGTTAGAGGTTTGACTCCTATGTTCTCACCAGTCGCTGGCAGCCCTCTACGATGATGAGCTTCTGCTGAGGGGACGTCCTGGCGAATACAATCTCTGTGTGGTTCCTCAGGATGTCGTCCATCTGATCCTGAGACAGATCTTTGAGGTCTGTGCCGTGGATCACACAGGCTTTGGCATCCCTAAGAACACAGAGTGAAGCGTTGATGTGAGTCTGGTCATTTGCCATCGTCGTCTGTACGACTGCACGTTTGTTTTTCTGTGATGTTTCTTTACCTGGGGTTGACCTGGCTGACGGGGATATTGAGACGAGCTGCGATATCCTCCACGGTCTCGTTGCCCTCGGAGATGATGCCCACTCCCTTGGCAATGGCCTTGGCAGTGATAGGGTGATCTCCAGTGACCATGATGACCTAAAGAGAGCAACACATATTACATTAGACAATCTCACCTTCCTTTTTAACACGGGAATATATAGATCAGATTCAGTATCGAGTACATGAACATGGATTAGCTTTTGTGTATAATGGTGCATACATAAACACATTCAAACAATTCATTGGAAACGCTGTGCCATTTTGAAGAGAAAGCAGAAATGTGCTCAATATACAGAGAAATGTGCACGGTTCACAGAATCGTGTTTGAGAGATGGCTCACGTGTGTGCAGAATTGTTTGTTGTTGTTTTGTTTTGCTTTTTTGTGCTTTGATTTCAACCATCTGTTTGTCTATCATTTTAAAGTGTTTTTGTACTATTAAGTCTTATTCTGTGGGGGTGGGGTTAAGAAAATGGACAACCTGCACACGTGTTGTTTTCTTGTCATTGAAACTGTATGTGTTGTTTAAGAAAAAGGAAAATAAAGTTTAAATCAAATTAAAATAATAAAAGACCATATCTTCAAATATTGAGTATTTACTTCCTTTATTTAAAAAAAAAAAAAAAGTGTTTGTAGTCGTGTAGGATGTGTTAGCGTGAGGTTAGTGATATATTAGCCGTGTTCAAAAACTCACCTTGATTCCAGCAGATCGGCATTTTCCAACAGCATCAGGCACAGCAGCACGGGGAGGGTCGATCATGGACATGAGGCCGATGAAGCAAAGCTGGTCTGTCTGGAAGTTGACATCATCCGTGTCGAAGGCGAAGCCCTTGGGGTATTGATCCTCTGCGAGCATCGTGTGGCAGAAACCTGGAGGGGGGGGACATGTGGGATTTAGTGTTTGATTTGTGAGGAATAAAAAGCTCATTTCCATTTTCAGACATTTCCATAAACCCTGGTTTTATCATCAGATCTTTAACAACAACAAAACCTATCATGGTCTTGAGCTGTCGCAAATTACGGAATTAGTTTGCAGTTCCCTTTAATGCATGTATATGGTTTTCAAGCTAATAAAGGACACTACTATTACTGCCACTACTGTCCTTTGAGTTACATATTGTTAATCTCCTGTCCAAAGGAAATACTTATATAAACTAAAATATGTTTATTTATGTCCAAAATGGTGGAATGAGCTCCCCATTGACATCAGGACAACAGAAAGCTTACACATCTTCCGGCACAGACTGAAAACTCATCTCTTTCAACTCCACTTCGAGCGATAGAATTACTAACAAAGCACTTATAATGTATACTAACAGAGGACTGGCTTATCTAAAGCCAGTTGAGTAGCACTTGAAATGTGTTGGCTCTATGAAACCTGATGTACTTATATGATTCTGTTTTCTTCAAGTTTGTATCTTCTTGGTCGAATGCACTTACTGTAAGTCACTTTGGATAAAAGAGTCAGCTAAATGCAATGTAATGCAACAAACACTGTTGTATGGCAATCAATAAAATCCCTATTCTCGTAAATTGGGGGCTCGTCCGGTCTTTCCGTTGTTAGTAAGCTTCAGTGTCATTAGGATCTCTGGTTGACAGTTTTTCTTCGTGATAGTGGAACACATTTAGATTGAAAGTAAATTGGAATGTTTCACTCCTGAGTCTTCTGTTGAGAAATTGGATGGCTGTACAAAAGCGGATTTGGTTTTCATTGCTAATGTTTTTGTGCCTATTAATGACGGTCATAGCATATTTTGAAACCTCAGGGTTAGGCTCAGTTCTCTCTCTCTCCTCACCCAGCACTCTCTCTCCGAGGCCTCCAAGCTCCATGTAGGCGTTCTGGAAAGACTCCTTGAGCTCTTCGTCCATGGGCTGCTCCTTGCCCTGCACCATGATGGTGGAGCAGCAGTCCAGGATCCTCTCGGGGGCGCCCTTCATCACCAGCAGGTAGCGGTTATCGTTGGTATCTTCAGTCTCGTGTATTGACAGCTAGAAGGAGCACAGAAAGTTCATTTGATCTATTGAATAGGCTGTTTGAGCATTTACTGTAACAGAAGAATGTAATCTGTAATACACCATTTTGTTTGATCACACACATGTCATGCTAAAAACTCACCTCTTTGCACTGGCTTTTAACACTAGTTGACATTTTTACATTTGTATGTGTTTTTATATGTTTCTAGCTATTGTGTATTTTTATCATGTTTTAATTATTGTTTTATTATTTTATTCCCATTGTGTTATTTGATATTGTATGTATTGCCTGTACAGCACTTTGGTTTGAGTTTGAGATTATGCGTGTGTACAATGCTACATTTGTATTGATTCATTCACCTCATTGCATTATCTCATACACTACATCAAATGCTTTCTAATCAATACACTTTTGCAATAACGTTGGATAATCTGTCACTATTGTTGTATCATTGTTTTTTGATATAGCTTCAGCCAAGAAGAAGCGGAGAATAAAAGATAATTACGAATAAATTAGCAATTTGTATTTTTTTTAATGTATTAAATGTTTCTCTTTGACTCAATATTTTTTTAACATACATGTCAAGATTCAAGATTCAAGGCTTTTCTTGTCATGTGTACACAGCTACAGTGTAGTTATGACAATGAAAATCTTAGGTCACAGCAGTGCAACACAATAACACAGATCAAATAGTGCAAGTAGATAAAATGAAATAGAAAATAATAGAAATGATCTGTCTCGTACCTGGTATTTGTTGGTGGAGTTGAAGGGGATCTCGGCCACCTTCTTATTCCTGTCCCTGTTGGCTCTCACGGAGCCGCAGCACAGCTCGATGCACTTCAGCAGCGCGGACTCTGAGGCGTCTCCGGCCACGTCACGCTTCAGGATGGGCAGGGCGTCCTGTCCCGCTTTGAACTGAGCGCGGTTACACAGACCAGCAACACGAGCCAGACTCAGCCACGTCACGGAGCTCTTGTCGAAAGAGGCACCTGGAGAGATAGAAGAAGATTATTAACAGTCTATTCGCTGGTAGACCCTAGGGCTGCGCGATTATGGCAAAAATCATAATCACGATTATTTTTTGGTCAATAATTGATATCACGATTATTAAAAACGATTTACTTTGAAAACATCAATTTATTGAAAAAACTAAATGTGAACAGTATGTTTTTAACAGTTGATTACCCTGAAATTTTATATAATTCAATTGAAAAACCAATAAAAAAAAATTAAAAAAATAACATTTTTAAACAAAAATAATAATCGTTTTATTTTGATTACGTTGTTTTTGTAATCGTTGCAAGCCAAAATCGAGATTAAAATACGATTAATTGCACAGCCCTAGTAGACCCCCCCACACACACACACCACACCTCGGACACCACTGCTCTAAAAGGCCAATGTGAAATCATGTAAAAATAAAAACAACACTTATGTGTAATATGTTCCTTGCTAATATTATTGTTACTACTGGCTGCTACTCTTAGTTATTCCATCCATTAATGCAACAGGAATCTGTATGTGCAATAAGAATTGTACTACTGTTATACACCACACTTCATTCTACAGTGTTAAACTTATTTTATTTTATAAATACTGCAACTTACTTATCTACCTGACTGTGTACTTCTAGTAATAATATCTATTCTAAATACTATGTAGATATCTTCTATATTACGAGGGCTTCCTCCTTCAGCCAACATTCATCTGTATTTGTTATTTATTTTTGATAATTATTACAATCTAACTTCATTTTGTTGTTGCCTTAGCTGTTCTGTTTTGTGTTGTATTTGAAAAATGTAATAAAGATATTATATAAAAAATTTAAAAAATACTCTGTGCATGAATTTATACACAGTAATAGTGTTGTATTTCTTTCGTCTCTATCCATTGCTTTAACAATGTACATTTCCCGTGTGTGGGACAAATAAAGGAAGTCTGATTTGAGGGAGTGACTGTGCCCTGTCCTCTCTCACCAGACTGGTCCTCCGTGGTGTCGGCCTCGTGGATCTGGTTGTCGAACCACATGTGGGCCACGGTCATCCTGTTCTGGGTCAGGGTTCCTGTCTTGTCGGAGCAGATGGTGGAGGTGGAGCCGAGGGTTTCCACAGCTTCCAGATTCTTCACCAGGCAGTTCTTCTTCGCCATACGCTTAGCAGTCAGGGTCAGACACACCTGCAGGCAAACATTCATGATGTCAGACAACGTTTATCACATAAACACACACTCATACACATTATTATTATTATTTTAAACATTATTTTTCTTTTTTTCTTTGTCTATATTATTGAAGACAACAATATAGACCAAGTAAGCACTTCAATCAGCAAACTAAAATAAAATAATAAAATAAATGATATTTGTCCAACAGGAAACAAAAGTCTTTAATACAGAAGAAGTATAAATGGCTTATGCAGTATTTTATTTGTCGTCCACTCACAGTGACAGTAGCCAGCAGCCCTTCGGGCACGTTAGCCACGATGATGCCGATGAGGAAGATGACGGCCTCCAGCCAGCTGTAACCCAGGACGATGGCCAGGATAAAGAAGGTAACGCCCAGGAAGACAGCCACACCGGTGATGATGTGGATGAAATGCTCGATCTCTTTGGCGATGGGGGTCTTTCCGGTCTCCAGGCCAGAGGTCAGGGTGGCAATGCGACCCATGACTGTGTGGTCACCGGTGCAGATAACAATACCACGAGCTGTGCCTGGTTTGGAAAAAGAACAGAGACACAACATTGTAAAATATATTCGCTGCAACAGTTAGTGTGTCCTTTAAACAATGTCTCAGTTAGATACTACATTTTGGAGTACATGTTTAGATTAGAGCCGGAAACCTTAACGTGTTAAACGCAAATTAATCACATTACCAAGTTTGCTTTGGCTAAGTGTCAGAAAATGTACAGACATATCATTCCAGAATCATTAGCACTAAGCTGAACTCTAATAAAGTAAAAACCTTTGATTTCTCTTACTAGTTTTGCAAAATAAATACTAGAACTTTAAACTTGTTAATAGTCATTGTTAATCGCAGTTTTTTTATGTGATTAATGCAATTTAATATTTGAACCACTACTCAAACCATATGCGCACACGAAGTTATTAACCCTTAGATGCATGAATGGGTCTTTTTGACCCGGTGTCGTGGTTTTCTTGAAGTATCTTTGGAATTACATATTTTTTTTAATTTCATATTCCAGCTGTTCCTCAAAAAACATGTTTTGGATATCACGCCATTCAAATTTTAAATTTAAATTTTAAGAAATAGTAGTTTTTTATTCCTACCCCAAGCTTCCATAAGTGGGTCAAAAATGACCAGCATGCATTTCCTATGGAAAAACGTTTTTTTTCAAAATGTAAAAAAATTATCTAAAATTATAAATAGTGAAAAATTAAATATCAAATATTTCTAGTTTGAACCAAAATATAATACTAAATATTATACAAGTGATTTTTCTTAACCAAAATGACAAAAATGGCATAAAAACACATATTATTCTAATATTCTATATTATTTTTCAGGCTCCAGTCACTCGTGCATCTAAGGGTTAATAGCATGTTATATTATCGCCGTGGAGACCATACCTTCCACGCAGTTGGTGGAGAAGAAAGCGACGTTTCGGGTCTCGAGGGGGTTGTCATGGGTATTGTCAGGTGACCGGCTCTGAGGCTCTGACTCTCCTGTTAGGGAGGAGTTATCCACCTGGAAACAGAGAGAGAGAGAAAACATGTAGTTGCAAACCAGAAGAAGTAAGACTTTTAGGATGTGCGACGTGTATATTATTGGATTTGCATCATTCTGTCATGCCTAGATAATATGCTCAGCCCAAACAGTCTCACAATAGAATGGGAGGGATGAACCCCTCTTTAATGGTCTCACATGCAGAGAACACACAGTGACATGTGTTCTCTGCTTTTAACCCATCCTAGTACCAGGAGTCTAGTACTAGGAGCAGTGGGCAGCTATTGTACAGCGCCCGGGGAGCAATGGGAGTGAGGGGGATGTCTGGTGCCTTGCTCAAGGGCACCACTGAAGGGCAGGAGGTGAACTGGGATCTCTCCAAGTAGCAGTCCACACTCCATATTTAGGTCTGTCCGGGGACTTGAACCGGCGACCCTACGGCTCCCAGTCCAAGCCCCTACTGACTGAGCCACTACGTTTATTATATTCTGTATATTGAATGTTAAATATAAATTAGTGGTTTATATGAAAGGGACAATATCTAA